TAAACCCTAAACCCTAAACCAAGACAGCGGAGCCTGCCATGCAGGCAGCCTTTAGGGCTTCGGCGGCTCCTGCATTCAACGCTCGAGGGAGTATGAGGGTTTAGGGTATAGGTTAAGGGTTTAGGCTTTAGGGTTTAGGGTTCAGGGTTTAGGGTTTAGGGTTTAGGGTTGAGGGTTGAGGGTTGAGGGTTGAGGGTTAAGGGGTGTAGGCTTTTGGGTTTAGGGTGGGCTTCGGGGGTTTAGGGCTTTGGGGTGTGTAGCAACGGAAAGAAAAGCAAAGGATAATACAGAAAAATAAAGTCGAGTAAAGAACAACACAAGTAATGCATAGTAGCACCTGTATGGTATGGAAGTGGGGCCACAACATTCGCAGATTGCAGCACCGATTGAGGTAAGGGGCTTGGGACGTCTTTGATACAGGAGCCGAAACAACTACAAGTATCATTCTCCAGGGTTCCCAAGTTTCGGGTTAAGGGTGCAGGGCTTTGGGCTTTGGGTTTCGGATTTAGGGATTGGGTGTAGGGTGTAGGGTGTAAGGTTTAGGATTTAGGGTTTTGGGTTTAGGGTAATGTAAATATACTAGAAACCCTCTCCTAGTTATTGGGGTTCCTGGATTACTGCATCCGGGGATCCGGGGGTATCGGGTGCGCGATCCTGGGTTCAGGTTTAAGGCTCCAGACCTTCCAACCGCCATGAATTGAACAATATACACCCTTATAACTTACAGTAGGATCCCTCATATCCACCTCACAAGAGTCCTTTAATGATGACTTAACATGTTTGTATATATATACATACATACATACATACATACATACATACATACATACATACATACATACATACATATGTATATGCATTCCTTAGTTAAGTTATGATGATTCAAGGTATACCCCTTTAGTAAGGGCTGTTGGGAAAGTCTGGGGAACTCAGTCTCCCGAACCGATTTAAGGGCTGGGTGATGTAGGGGCCTCAATAATTAGAATAAGGTTTGACAGGGCTCCTTTAAAGGGTTCCTTAAGAGGGTTCTATAAGGGCTACAAGTAATTATTTAGGCTCCTATATTATATCTTACAATAAGACAACAGGAAACCCTGTAGCCTGATTCTACCGATGAAACCCTAAAAACCCTACCCTAAAAAACCCTATGAAACCCTATGAAACCCTATAAGCCCTGTAAAACCTATAAGCCCCAAACCCTAAACCCTAACTTTGAAGCCTAACCTTTGAACCCTAAACCCTAAACCCTTAACCCTTAAACCCTAAACCCTTAAACCCTAAACCCTGCAGTAGAGGGCAGTCCTTGCGAAACCAAGAGCTCCTTGGCATTGGCCCTGGCGGTTTTCTGGCGCAGCTCTCTGGGTACAGAAAGGGGGCCTGAATAATTAGAATAGGGTTTGGGGGGGTATATTCGACTATAACTATAAAATGTGGGTACTTTAATAATTAGAATAGGTTTTGGAGGGGTATATTATACTATAATTATAAAACGGAACCCGCAAAATAGTGTAATGTAGGGGCGTTTCCTTATATAACTATAGTATAATCGCTTATAAGGCGCTCATGCTGTTTCGGTGGGTTTAGGGATTTGTGGCGTTTAGGGTTTAGGGTTCAGGGTTTCGGGGAGGGTTCAGGGGTCTATACTATTCCGGGGTTTAGGCTTGAGAGTTTGGGTTTAGGGGCATGTGGGGCTCAAAGCTTAGGGGGTCCAGGGGTTTAGGGGGTTTAGGGGTCAGAGTGTAGTCGAGGGTTTAGGTTTGAGGCATTAGGAGTCCAGGATGTACGGTTGAAGTTTCGGGCTTCGGGCCTGCCTTGTGGACGAGAGGTCTTGGATTCCCGGTCCCTGGGACCCTAGGTATTCTTGGATGAGATTTGGGCTTAAGGTTCAGGGTTTAGGGCTTAGGATTCAGGGTTCAGGGCTCAAGAAGCCGCATAAAGGGATGAGCTCTCACGCCTCACGTTTCAGAGACAGAGGCTATAAAGTTTTCCCAAGGCACAGCGCCTTAACTTGAAACCCTGCTCCCTAAACCCGAAAACCCTACTCCCCAATATAGATTCCTTATAGACGCCTTCAATAGAACCCTAAAACCCCAATATATAGATCCCTGTTTTAGAACCCCAAACCCTAAGCCCTAAACCCGAAATCCTGAACCCGAAAACTCTACTCCCTAAAGCCCTAAACCCTATCCTTTTAAAGGACCCCCTCTTAAGAACCCTGAACGGAACCCTTAAAGGACCCTGAACCCTGATCCCCACCTAAACCGTCCTAAACCCTAAACCCTGATCCCTAAACCTAAATCCTAGGCTCTAAACCCTAAACCCTAAACCCTGATCCCTAAACCCTGATCCCTAAACCTAAACCCTAGACCCTAAACCCTAAACCCTGACCCCTAAACTAAACCCTGATCCGTAAACCGTCCCTTGCTGGCCTCCCCACACGAGCCAAAGAGCCGAGAGCCCGAGCGCAGCGCTCGGCGGTGGCCTCGAAACACGGCCAGGCTCCGGCGTGAGGGTTTAGGGCTTTGGGCTTAG